TAAATTAATAATCTTATTATTTAAAGTTGTATGCGCCAAAATTAGTAATTCATATGATTGCGACATGTGACAAGTCAATCGATCATATGTCGCAATCATATGAATTACTAACTTCGGTATTCCAAATTTTTATCTTTCACGATTTGTTTGCTGAATTTTGTATACATCTAAACTGTTTTCAGTCTTCAATAATTAGACAATTCCAAAATAATTACACAAAATTTTTGCAAGCAGGATTACATGAAAATGAAATCCTAGATGCTAATGATAAGTTATATGAAAAGGAGGATCAACAAAAATCATTTAAAAAAGCTTTTTACACGAGTTTTGAGAAGAATAACTTCTCTATAAATCAAATAAATCATATACGACATATGGAGAGAAAGAAAAACATTGTTTGCTTGGAAAGAGTTAATGGAGAGAGAGGTAATATAATCGAAGAACTCGAATTACATACCCAGGTTTTTAGTGCAGTGAAACCGAATAAAATAGTTGATAAAATGTTGAACTACAAGTGAAATAAAATTAATATTGCTAAGGACCCGCAATAGATTCTGTATTTTGAATATTTTAACTGAAAACAAAAAAAATATTAACATAAACAACTCTTACATTTTGATTTTATGTTTTTAATATATTTTTTTTATTAATGATCTGATTTTATTTTTTATTTTTTAAAATTATTGTAATAAATTTAAAAATTTATAATTATAAACTCGCATATATGGAGATCCTAATCTAGTTTTTTTTATAACCTTATAAAAGTTATACTGTATACGGATTAAATATCTTATAAATCTTTTAACAACAGACAGTAATTTATTATCGTCAAATAATTATTTTGCTCGATTTAACCTAATCATAGAGATTATGAAGCATAATAAATCGTATAAAAAGATGAGTTCGAAATCATCGACACCTTTGCTTTAATTTTATAAACGGATGACGAGTTCAACAAATGGGAAAACGCAAACGGAGCTGATAACTTATGCACAAGAAACAGCTTGATGCACACAATCTTCTTTCGGTGACGTGCAGCTCACGGTGGTGATGGTTAGTGGTTGCAAATAGTTGACAGTGGTGGCTTCTCATTTCTCCACGATTCTCTCCTCTCGGCAAGGTGACTTCATGACAGTGGCTCTGTTGAAGATGGTGACTCCCTTCTCCGATAAAGTGCAGCGCGGTGGTGGCTGGTGGTACTAGACGGGGGCGGTTGTGGTGACTCGACGATAACGGTGGTGCTGTCGCTTTCCCTCTCTCTTATCTTTTCTTTCACGATAACTCTCTCCTCTCCTCTCCTTCCCAGTCTCTTTCTCTCTCCTTTCTCTTCTCTCTTCTCACGCTTCTCTTCTCCCTTTCTCATCGTTTCTTTCTTCTCTGGTTTTTCCCTTCTCGGCAAGTTGACGGCGTGCAAAGGTAACGAGGGTTTACAGTCATGACAGAAGGAAGAAGATGGGCTTAATGGGCCTGACGAATCAAAATTAAAAATTGGCCCATATCTCCAAACCAGGTTGGCACTGACTATGGTAACTGTAATGACCAGACACGATCTATTTGAGTAAGTTTAAATAAATTGATTTGATTAATTATATTATAAAAGTGTATTTACTTTTCCAGATCACTTATTGGAGAGAATTTCAGAATTAAGTTGTGACACCCGATTCCGATAATATAAACCAAACCGGCAATGTCAAGATAACTGTCTGCGCTAAAAGCTAACCGCATTATTTTTTTTACAAGTATTAGGCGATCACACAATCACAGAAGAGATCCAAACAACAATCAAATAAGCAAGAAATCTCAAACACAAGTAAAATTCGTTCTAAGTCTCTTGCAACTTCAGTTTCAAAACCTCTAAACACATCTAGGCGATCACATATCAAACAGCAACCTAATATGACTTAAATGGGACTCAAATCTAAAGCAGAAAGTAGGTTATACTTGGTTTAACCCAAAATAGACATTCAGAAAAGCAAGATACACAATATTCTAGCACATATTCATCCTCACTTTGGTCTAGGTGGAGAAGGAAGTGGCGAGGGGAGGTAAGGAGAAGAGAAGGTGGCGAGGTGCTCCACTGCGGCTAACCACGCCTGGTTAATCTGCCTTCCGGGGTGCTGCTGCTGCGGCGTATGACTCAGAGAAGACTCATGCTCGTCATCGATGTGAAACACCGGGATGGGGCGGCTAGACAGAGCGGCAACAGGTCCATCCCGAAGGTGGTGGACTCGCGGCTCCTCCACGGCGGCGGCAGACGACGATGGCAGCTCCGGGAAGCGGCTGGAGCGATCATCCGAGGGCACCGAAGATGAACGGCGGGACATAGCAGAAGAGAGAGGAAGCGGCGATGAGAGAGAAAGAAAGAGGAGAGAGAAACGACGGAGAGAGAGAGAGCTCTAAGGTTTTTCAGTTCTTTGGAAAGTTTAGACTGAAGAAAAAAAATGGGAATGACTCTCTATTTATACCCAATGGGAAGCTTGGGCCGAAAATAAAGATAAGCACGGAAAAGGAAATGATAATTATGAATAAAAATATTCACAATTCTTTTAGGAAAATGTGCATTAATATCACATTAAAAATGTAATATTTATCTAAACCAGAAATATTTATCTCTCGAAAGAAAAAGAAAATATCGAGAAATGGGAATTGGGAATTAGACTTAAACCGTCTTAGTTCGAGATTAAATTTTCTAAACGGGTCTAGTTTGAAAAACCGGGTCGTTACATAAGTATGCTAAACTTAGAATATGACTAGGATGAATGATCTTCTGAGAAGTACTATACGGAACCGTGTAAATAAAACCAAAACACATAGAAAGATCACATTGTGGTTGATCAGTAAATAAATTAATCATGTTTCTGAAAAATATAACACACCAGCACTCAGAGAAGAGTGGGGCCCATAGGCCCAAAAGAGTACATAGATCATACTCGAATGTTACATAAGAGACTGTGATTTAGTACCGCTAAGAACTCGAATGTTTACAGTTACTTCCTGAAGATTCTGTGTCCAGGAGTATTTCACAATATCAAGCCCATTCCCTTTGTTAGGGACGATTGCACTCGATCCCTGTTTCTCTTCTTCGTTTGGCTTCAAGCTTTCCTTCTTTAGCTTCTTTTCCACGTGGTTCAATCTTTCCTTCTCGTTCTCCGCTTGCCTCAACCACTTCTTTGCGGCCGTAACAGGTGTTGCGATCTCTTTCTCCGCCGCGTCTTTCATCAAAAAGTTACTCTCTTGGCCAATAAAGTCAAGGGCTTTGCCCAAAAAGCCCTAGTGGGTTTGAAGGATCAAAACTTGCACTTAACTGCAACGTCGAGGGTCTCTCCTCCTCCTGCATCTCAGAGATAATCGCCATTGGTTTTTGTTTAGCTTTAGGGTTTTATTGTATCAGTCAGATATTGAAATGTAACAAAGATTTGGTATTTATAAGGAAAGCCACAAAGACCAAAAAAGAAAGTATGAGAGAAAGAAAGATTATAAGAGTTAAAAAACCCTTTTCAACTTGGATTGAGTCTTTTTCCTTAATTCCCTCGTATTTAAAGTTTCCGAAATATTCAACTTTCCTTATTTCAAAAATTACCTCTATTTCGTTCGATATTGGATAAACTAAACAAAAGTACAGAGAGTTAAAACCAAACAGAAAAAATTAGCGAATCTCTGTGACATACTACCAAAATTGCTAAGACAGTTTTCTCAAATAACTCATCTGCTTCTGTCTCAAATTTCTCTTTTTTATGATTTAGCTGTTTTCAACTTATTTAAGCTGGCTTAGGCTATAAATTACAACAAGGAAACATAATTGAGTTACAAAAAAACAAAATCACGAGAGCATTAAATTAACCTGTAATGCGACGTCACCCGAGGAAACCTGTTCCATATATATCGACATCCGTAGACAGTATGGAAGAAAGATTGGTCTCTTTAGCAAACAAAAAAAAAAACACACCTACATCTCTTTTCTTTCCTCTTTTATAGCTTCATATGAGAGTAACACCTCTTTGAATTTTGCTTCAGCTACAACTGCAACAGTCGCATCCCACCCGGTAAGACAGAAGAATAGTTAAGATGGTGAGGCGTAATGCGCATAGAGGCTACAGAAACATTACCTTTGTTATCCTGATTTTGGTCCGGATGGAATTCCATCGCCTTTTCCCTGAAAGCTTTCTGAATGTACGACAAACCCCAATAGCATAAGCAGCTCGATTTCTGAGCCGAGAGTGGTTCGGACGCGTTTAACCATTTTTCAAATCATAACTAACTAATTAAATTGTCATTTAATTATCTAAAAATTCATTTATTAAAAACTGAATCGGAAACTCCAAGCGGCAAAACAAGAAATTAACCTTAAAAATGAAACTAATAGAAATATGTCCTGAACGAAAAACATGACCAAAGGTAACTGCATCAGAAGGATTCTTGTCATGCGTACCTTAATCTCAGCTTCTGTGTATGGAGTTGCCCTGGATCTGTAACACAATAACACCCCAAAAAAACCCACATTCAGTTCTCTCGACTTGTCACCCGTTTACTTGTAGAGACGAATTAAAACATACTAAGAATCCCGACTCTGATTCGCCGTTTTGATGTACATTAACATTGCAACCATCAAAAGCTGACCCTTTTCCTCTAGATAAACCCATTTAATTATGTTGATTCATCTATATTCTACAAGCACTAAATACTCAATGAAACTTCTCATGGGTACAGATACTAAATTGTGGAAAACAGAATCGAATTCTTTCTCTATTGACCTAACTTAGGCAGTTTCAACAGAGATCAATGACCAGAACTAAAACGAAACAGAACAACCTGAAACTCTCCCAAAGCCCTAAGGCTCCCAATCCCAAACAACCTAATGATCCAAAGACCTCTGATCTGCTATCACTTCTACTAATTTATACATATTCTACTGCCTATCAGCTTTATCCCTATTGCAACATATAGTATGAAGCTAGAGACATAGATATGTGAGCATTTATTTTCAATATAAAACTACAACATTACCTGCTGAGTCCTAAAACTGAGTAATGGTGTGATAGTGGATAGACTCTACTCGGTTTTGGAGGCTCCTGGTGATTGGTCCTTTGGTTTCTGTACGTAGACTCGGTTTTCCAGTACCAATCATTTCGCTGAAACTGCTGATGGTATTGGTGTGCATTAGGATCACTTTCTTTCCAGTTCTCGAAGCCCCTACGAAATTTATTTCTCTCTCTGTTGAAAACGCTTTGCATACGCCTAATACGTTCCTGTAAGAGAGCATTATAAGATCTAAACGCATGCCAAGCGATTTTTACACACCAACAACAACGTTTTATAAATTTTTGGATCAAATGGAGGAGATGTATCTAAAATCCTATACATTCATTCTCATTAGTGTTACAATCTTAACGTCAACGAGGGTGTATGCCAACTGCAATCCAAATCTAAATAAAACGGTTTACGAACCCATGGTCGCTAACATTTTAAACACAACTGCAGAAGTTATTAAGATCAAGCTACTCAATTTTTCCATTTTTTGGCACCGAGAGTTTATAGTAGGAAAAGGTCAATTAGACTTACCACTCTCTCCAGCTCTTCCTCATACTCCTCTTGCATCCGTTTGTTGTACCTTCTCCATGATTCCTCTTGCAAAGCTGTTCGGAAACCGCCTCTGGCTCCTCTCCGCGCTGACTGTGATCTACCTACCTTTTAATGTCAAAGTTACAAACAAGTTGAGAGATTGGCTAAGCTGGAGAATAAAACCATTAACATGAATCGTAACGGGAAAAGAAAACGAGCAATGGAAAATATGGCCAATGCAAAACCAAAAAAGGCTGATGACATGTAGCAACTAATGCTCACACAGTTTTGGAATGTGCTAATGAAGATATCACTTAAAAACTAGTTTTAAGGTTATTATCTCAGAGAAAATGTTGGTTTAATCACCTGGGTATAGACCCAATTAAAAGTTCTTCGCAGCTGATGAACCTACCAAACAATAGAAGGATCAAACACTACAGCCCGACAAAGATTAAAACCAAACCAAACAGAGGATATAATAATTCCGTGATTCTGCAGGTTTTTAAAATCGCAAGTTTTGGCGGAATTGCGTGTTAAATTCATTCATGACATATAATAAAGGGATAAGCTCTTCTAGGCAAGTTATGGTTTTCTTGCTTAATCATTCCACAATTCCAATCCACCATTTCGGCAAGATTGAGGATCGATTCATCGAATTACCTCGACCTTTTCCTTCGCTTCCGCATAAATTTTAAACGATTAAAGCCTAAACTAGAATACAGTGACCGTCTTCTGCAAGTCCAGAAGAAAGAATGGTAGAATGATTCCGTGATTCTGCAGGTTTATTCCATCACAGTTTATGATAGATTTATTCAAGACAAAGAACAAAATGAATCAGTTTTTCAAGTGAAATAATGTTTTCTAGCTTAATCATTCCGTAATTCCATAATTTCACAAAGTTACCTATCAAAGCCTAAGGCTTTCCATTGAATAAACTACTGAGAAAGTCACAACTCAGAAGGGCCTTTAAAAATGAACCTTAGCCAACTCTATAGCTAATCATTTCCGAACCATCAATCCTCGAGAATAAACAGGAAATCGAAGGAAATCGAAACGAAACCTATTCTTTTTTGTCAAAACAGCCAATTCAAAATCATAATTCGATAATTTGACAAAACTAAAACAAACCGTCTAACCATAAACAAATCCTCAATCTCGAAGTAAAGTAAGAATTGATGAGAATTTATATACTCACGGCGAAAGTGGTGGCGGTTGCGCCGATTACAGTAAACGCGAGTATTCCCCAAAGCTTTAAGTCCGCCTTCTGCGGCGGAGGTTCATCTTTATCGCGTTCAGAATCTTCGCCTCCCATTATCAATTTGCTTCCTCTCTATGAATTAGAGAATATTTGCGCTTGTGATTTAAATAACCCTAACAGCATCCTTAGTGAATTCGATTGCTCTCTTTTCTTCGATTCTCAGGGCATCATCCAATTGAGTTTTGAAATTTTTTCACAGTTTCCACCGCTTCTTATTTTTATTAATCAACTCCTCTTTAAACGTTTGTTCCGTCGTAGGGACAGACAAAATGAACAATTTCCAGATTTTTGATAGGTGAGAAACACATGGGCCTTTATTGGGCTTTCTCTTCCCCAAATGGCAGGATATTCGTTTCCTTATTTAACGAACAAATTTCCATTCACGGGTTTACAGGATATTCGTTTCCTTTTTGATTTAAAATCAAGTTTGTCAAAACAATTTTTGGAAATACTCCAAAATAATTCAAAAGAAAAAAACAATGTGAAACAAGTATTTTATTAAAGAGAAAATTATGAAAATAATTTTTATTTTATGGTTCTTAAATACTAGTACTATTGTCCTAACTACTTTTATTTTATCCTATTGACAGACTAATGACAGAATGAATACAAACTATTGACAAACTGATTGGTTTTACAATTGAATATAGACTATTGATAGACTAATAGCAAACTAATGACAGATTAAATGTAAATTACTATCAGACAACAGAGCATAATAGGAGAGGATGACTCTAGGGTTTCAGAGGCAGAAAAAGCAATTTCCAGATCCATAATCTCTTGACACACGCAACGGCGGATCCCCGAGTTCTCTAAACAAACGCTCTACAAGATAAGTTTTCTTAGGATCCCTAAGGCTTTTGACAACGTTTTGTGAAGAGGCATCTCGTTTGGATCCATCCTATTTGGGTGTGGTTGTTGGTGGATCCGGAAAAGTGCGACATATGTTCTGATCCTTTAATCCGGAGTATCTAGTTTTTGCTACGTGAACGATTTTCTAATCTCTAGTCCAGTACTACGATCTGATTGAAATCGTGCAGGGCAAGAAAAAAGGTTACGATCTTAAAGGTTTAACGGGAGATACCTTTTTCAGCTGGAAGCAATTCGAAATCGATCTGGTCTGGGTGGTACTTTGATCCTCTGGTCCCGTATATTTTTCCGGTGTAGCCTCGTGAATCCTAAACGATCGCGACAAGATCTATATCAGCTTACAGTGATTTCAATCTTTAGTATTATTACTATGTTCTGATTGATAATCGAGATAAAGGAGGAAAAAGCTAGACCCTGCTCTATTTTGTTGGCTTCATCTTGGCGGTGATACAGTACGGAAAGACATAATGAGTTCTGGTTCAAGGATGCTACAAAGAGGAGGGAATACATCACAAACAAGGAGAAGGCTAGAGCTACCAGAGGATGGTATCATTAAAATCCTGGCTTGTGATTTGGTGGCTGTGGCAGAACGTTTTAAGAGAACCTTGATTGGGAGGATGTTTTACCGTAAGGGGAGAAGCACCGAGGCCCTATTGGCACAACTCCCATGAGCAAGGATCTGGGACCTCCAAGGGATAGTAAAAGGGACAAACCTCGGAAACGGAAGATTCCAGTTCGACTTTGAAAGAGAGGAAGATCTGGTGAAGGTGTTGGCAAAACACCCATGTCACTTTAATCGATGGAGCTTTGCCCTTGAGAGGTGGGAACCTTCAACAAGGGAAGACTTCCCTTACACGATGCCCTTCTGGCTCAAAGTTAATGGAGTTCCCGTGCATTACTGGAATGAGGATACTTTCAAAGCCATTGGCAGAGCTCTGGGACTGGTCCTTGCAACAGACGCTGAGAATGCACGCTTCCAAGTGTCAATCAACGCTAATGAACCTCTACAATTTGAAAGGCGTGTGGAGTTTCCAAACGGTGACATAGGCAAGATAAACTTCGAATATGAAGGTCTCCACCGTTACTGCTTCATATGCAAGCGCCTATCCCATGAGGTGAGCTCTTGTCCTGAAGTCCCTGCAGAAGAAAGAATAAATCTTCGTAAACAGATTGAACCTGAGATGGCTTAAATAAGGGGACAGTGCAGCAGTTAACAGAGGCACTAAAGGGTCACCTGAAACGGATAAGATCCCCACTAAGGGAGGGACAACAGGCCCGTAAATCAAATAAGAAAAATCACGAGAGACGCAGGGGAAAGGTACAAAGCAGAGGGCCAAAACCCTGACATTCATCCAAACAAGTTTTCAAAAATTGGTTTGGGGGGAAGTAAAAAGACATTATGTGTTGATAAAGATAGAAGAAGCTACGAATCCTGTGGAGAAATAATAATCGATATGGTGAATATGAAGATCGACGTTTGACTCGGGAAAGCTATAGGGACAGGGATCTTCGATTAAATCTTAGCGAGAGAAGGCAAGCACGGACCAAAGAAATATGGAACAGACTCGATATCCCAAGTGGAGAAACAAATCCGTGAAATCGCGAGGGGAATCATACATTCCCAAAATCTGGGTACGGGGCTCAGTCAAGGAGAAATGGTACGACTCCCTCCAAGGCAGTCTGGAAACCCAAGCAAACAGAAAACAGAGAGTAGGAGACGTGTCGACTTTAAATACGTAAACATCCTCATCATGTTTCGAATCTCTCTACTGCCATATCGAACTCCCAAAGAATAATCTCGGACCAAGTTCAGGAATTAAACATTTCCGGAAAGGAGAAAATGGGAGATATCGGACTCCACCCGAATGAAACAGAGGAGCAGCGGAAGAGACGTTTAAAGGGAAAAGATAAGGCAATGGAAAGTGAAACTCTGAAAACTCTTCCGGTGCAATACAGATACCTTAAAAAACCTGGAACCCTAATGATAAGGGAGTCGGGAATCCAAGATACACCAACCTCAACAAGGAAGATGGCTCCGGTGGAAGCTGTGCAAATAGATATAGACAAAGGAATGGAGTCGGAGAAGCTAGGGGAAGATCTTACTCCACCACCACCGTTGACAGATAAGGAGCTAGAAGATTTTGATAAGATGGCGGTGGAGGAAAACCATTTCGACATGGACGAAGAGGAAATAGATAACGACGACTTGTTGGGAGAAGAAATGGAAAGGGAGGATGCGATGATTGAAGCTTTGTCGCAGTTAACACTGTCCCCAACATCAAACAAAATGGCAAAAACCAAAGGTAAGGAAACAGTGGTCCCTTCTCGTTCAGGTGTAAAGGCAAAAAAGAATCTGGCCAAACGCTCTACTTATGGATCTGGGCTTAAAGTTAGAGGTGGGGGTGCACTAAAACTGATCAATAGCGTCAGAGGCCGAGCATCGCCAAAGAAAAGACAATGATCGGGTAATAATACGATATCCTCTCGTAAAATATCTGTCCCTCGAAATGAGATGTTTCCTTCTGCTTTAAGTAAGAAGAGTTCTGCTGTTTCAGGTTCGGTGGTGTCCCAGAAACCACCCAGTAAGAAGATATGAATACAATTTCATGGAATTGTCAAGGTGCAGGCGCTTATCTGACTAAACAATACATTCGAAAGCTGCATCGTTGTTTTCCCCCTTCTTTTCTTTTTCTTTCTGAAACAAAAAATTCTTTTTCTTTTATGCAAGACATTCAATTTTCTTTTGGTTATAATAAATTGTTCACCGTGGAATCGGAAGGTACAAGCGGTGGATTAGCCCTTTTATATGGATTCTTTTGATGTTAAGATTTTGTTCTCCAATAACCGTCATATAGACGTGGAAGCTGTTATTAAAGGACAACCAGTCTTTATGATTTTCGTTTATGGTGATCCAGTCATTAAGTACCGAGAAATAGTCTGGGAACGTATTACACAGATAAGTACCACGAGAACGGGCCCATGGTTTATGAGTGGAGATTTTAATGAGATTACGGGCCACCAGGAGAAGAGAGGTGGCCGGAAATGCTCATATGCATCATTCATACCTTCAAAACTATGCTTAAAGACACCGAAACGGTGGAATTCCAGACAAAAGGTAACTCTTTTTCTTAGGTTGGAAATAGAAGGAGTGGTAGAGTTCGATGCAAACTTGATAGAGCAATAGGTAATGAGGATTGGCACCATACCTTTTCCCACACATCTGTGGAGTATCTGAAACTATGGAGCTCTGATCATCGGCCGGTTCTGGCTCGTATTCAATCGCGAAAGGGCAGGGTTAAGAGAAATTTTAAATTTGATAAGAGATGGTTGGGAAAGGAAGGCCTACTAGAGACAATCATCGAGAGCTGGGGGACTTCAGACACTTCTAGAACCCCGGACCTACATGCCATCATTGGAAAGTGTCGAAAAGCGCTATCATCCTGGAGACGCCTTAACCCGACAAACGCGATTAAAAAGATTGAGGAGATTAAAGAAAAGATGGACTCTGCTCAACAAAATGACTCGGTTTCAAATGATGAAATGTTAATTTTAAAGTGGAATCTCTGTGCCGCCTTCCGGGAAGAAGAGCTCTACTGGAAACAGAAAAGCCGGGCAACTTGGCTAAAAGAAGGAGACAGGAATACTAAATTCTTTCATGCCACGACGAAGCAGAGAAGAGCTAGAAACAGAATCATCAAACTGAAAAATGCCTCAGGAGGTTAGGTAGAGACTGAGCAGGGAATGGAAAAAGTTGCTGCTGACTATTTTCAAGATCTGTTTACATCATCTCAACCTCAAGACTTTGAGGAGGTACTCCGGTATACTACCGCGCAAGTAACCCCGGCTATTAACGCTGCACTCACGAGCTACCCATCAAATGAAGAAATTAAGAAAGCCATCTTTGAGATCCATCCAGAAAAAGCTCCAGGACCAGATGGGATGACTAGTTTGTTTTACCAGAAGTTCTGGGAAGTTACCTCGAAGGATCATTAGAGTAGTCAGAGATTTCTTTGCTACAGATATGTTTGACCCGAGACTGAATCAGACAAACATCTGCCTAATCCCAAAGATATCAAGACCTGTAGAAATGGCAGAGTTCAGGCCTATAAGCCTATGTAACGTCAGTTACAAGATTATCTCGAAGATCCTAAGCAAAAGACTTAAAAAAATTCCTCCCAAAATTG